TCTCAGATGTAATTATATCACAAACTTCTAATGAAATTCTCCTTTTTAATTCTTCCGTTTTACATCTCTGGGCAGACTGCATGGATGTCTCCTCCAAATAGTTATTCAAAATTTTATTTCTTATGTCTTCAATTTTACTATTAAAAACGCCATACACTTATTTACTGTTATGACATCGATATTACATTTTTGTAATTGATTGAACAATATATCACAATGAGGCATAACTAAATGAAAAAAATTTAACGAGTAAAGAAAATGTTCATTTTGTAAGTAGTTTTTAAACCAATAGCTTGGTTTAGAGTGTTGTTTTCTGACTCATTATCAATAATTTTTTTCTAAACAATCTAATAATTCTGTTCGATAGGTATAATTAGTCTCTATGCACTTTGTATTAAAATTCCATCATGTTGGAGCCGCTTTAGGTAATCTCACCTTAACAATATTATCTAACACGGCTGTTCTTTTTGGCGATTTTCTAAAGAATGAAGAAAAGCTATGTAAATTAGCAAAAAAAATGTTTATGCTTTTATCCTGACTTGATGCTTTTTGTAAAATTAAATTTAGTTGATGAGCGTAACAATGAATAAAATTTGCTGAAGGATAACTTTTTTTAATTTTGGCTTGTACACTCATTACTGATGCTCCATCGTAACTTTGTCCTATCAATTTTTCAGGACTTTCATTAATTTTCAGACATTCTAATTCTTTTAAAATTACATCTGTCAAATGCTGCGATGTCGTTCCTTGAGGCTGAATAAATTTCCAAAATCTCTCACATACAACACCGTCTAAAACGAATCTAAACACAAAAACTACTTGTACTTTATTGGAACTATCTATTATTTTATTTAAAATATATCTATTTTTAGAAATGTTTTCGTTGTAAGTTTTTAAACTTTTTCAATAGGCACTGTCTAACTGCATTCTAATATGAACTGTACCAAGTGTTGCTAGACTACAACAGTTATTCATTTGAATTCATGCGAGCGAATGTTTCTGTACTTTTATTTTTAAATGTTTCAAGTCAGTTACACCTATTTTGGACCCTATAGGATCAGGATTATCACCAAATAACAGGCATGGGAAACAAAAAAATGCATTTTTTTACCTCGCATCCGCAAATCCACTAGGATAAATCGTACATTGAATTTCGAAAATAACTATTAACTTCTTTTTTCTTATCAAGAGATGTTTGCTTTATCGTCATATTAGGTTTTGGACGGCCACCACCTTTGAATTTCACTCGATCTTCATAACCCTACTTATGTCCATCTTTCAGTTTTAATATAGTTTGTACAACACTCATATTTAATAGTAAACACCAAAAACACTGTTTTACTTAATTTCACGATAAGTAGAGTTTTACTAATAAAATGTTCACAAATAAAAACATTAAAAACAACGCGACAGAATTTATCGACCAACGCGTACCTAGTCAGCATTAAGACTGCTCTACTAACGAACTTCGTGCGTTACCGTTTCCGTAAAATGTGTCAGGGACATTGTCCCCGCCAGTGTTTTCTGTCTCTTTTGCTTTCTGACGATTCGCGCATAAGTCTATTTCACTTTAATTCGTTGTAAATTCGGTCCGTAGCTAGCTTTGAGGACAAGTTGTGGATTGACCCAAGATTTTTAAATTCTATAAATGAATAATGTAATGAATATGAATGTAGAGGCTCGATATTTGAATAGTATTGTGCATAGAATTAACTAGAAACATATTTTTTTAAGAATACTAAAAATATATATATTATATATTTTTAAACTTCAGAAAATGGCTCTATTTTTTTATTTGTATGTGGGAGGTCATTGGCCCAATAACCCTATAGAAGAACCGCCAGTGTTTTTTACACCATTATTACCTTGCAACCAGACAAATTTTCCTGCCGCCAATAGATGAGTTTGTAACCACTATACAGCTTACACTGTATAAATAATAAATACCTAGTAATGACAGCAAATACTCCTTTTCGTCGTAGTAATCTCATTTTGTAAACATATAAATATACACTGGAACTAGCGATTTTATTCCTGCCGTTAGAAAATTGCTACCACAGAAAGAATTTTTGCAAGTCGTAGAGTATTCTGTGAGCACACATATGAGGGTGATTTGGTAGGTCGACGTATTCCTTTGAAGGCGTGTTAGTAGCGCGCTTATTTGCAATTGATTTAACCATAATATCCATTATGCAAAACTCGATTGTTTTTGAGATATTTTAATTACTAATTTACACAGTAAAAATTATGTGACAAAAAATGTTAAATCCTTTGACAAGATAAAAATACAAGAGCTAAAACCTTCACATGTTGTAAAAAACTATATTAAAATATCTCAAAAACTATTAGGTTTTGCATAATGGATATAATGGTTAAATCAACTGCAAATGAAATCTACTAACACGGCCTCAAAGGAATACGTCGATCTCCAGTCACCCTGTGTATACAGGGTGATTCAGTTTTATTACCAATAACTTTAACTATTATATGTCAACAAAATAACGTTATTTTGTATATAGTACGAGTATAAATTTTCCATTAGGGTTTTTGTTTTCAAGATACAAGATGTGGAAAAATATTTATCTTTTTTTTCTGAAACTAAAAATTATTATGATAAATCAAAAAGAAAAATTCTCATAAAATTCCTTTATTACTGTGACCGGTTTCGTGAACAAATTAATTACTTCACATCATCAGACACAGGATGATGTGAAGTAATTAATTTGTTCACGAAACCGGTCACAGTAATAAAGGAATTTTATGAGAATTTTTCTTTTGATTTATCATGAACAATTACTCATATGGGATCAACCTACCTACGTTAAAAATTATTAGTTATTATTTATATTTGCTATTAAATACGTTAAATATGTTAGGTTGCATATATTTCACTAACTCGTTTTCTCTACACGGTAACTAAAATATCTAGGGGTAAATTATCATATTTTCAAAAACCAAAAAAACTATTTTTTTTGATACCTTTTATTTCAAAACTGATGGCCCCTACGGAAAAATTATACCACAAAATACTTACTTATATTTGTACTGTTAAATGTAGAAAACATTATTATAATAAAATCTTCATTTTGTCATAGTTACACAGTTATTTATTATTTAAAATATTTTCAGTTTGAAATGGCGATTTTCTAAATTCGATAATTTCATTAAATATATTTTTTAGAAAAAGATAGTCAAATTCAACATGTACAACTTAATATTTCAATGTTAAAACACGTTCTCTAACAATGCCTTATCTTGACCCAATGAAATTTTAATGAACTATATAGCGGCGTTAGCATACCCGCATCTCCAGAATTTTTTCGGTTAGTAATATTGAAAAACGAAAATATACAGGCAATACTGATGAGTTTTTTTAATCAAGAAAATATGAATATTTTATTTGGTTTCATTTTATGAAAGTAAATAATCGTATTTTCCAGGTTAAAAACATACGCATCAATATTGCCTGTAATTTTATGTATTAAATCTACCCATATGGTATTTAGAATAAACCGTTTTCGTTCTTCAATATTACTAAGAGAAAAATTTGAACAGCGATTTATAAATTTAAGGTGGATATCTGGTGAAAACGCAACAAATGATTCATTTAAGGAAACAAAGGAGTAATAAATAATAGATACATATTTTAAAATCATTGATTTATTATGCGTAAGTATATAGAAGTAGTGTTAGGTGCACAAAAGGACAAATATTATATTAAAATGTAATTAAAATAGTCATTATACCTTCGAATACTTGGACCTATGTAGTCTTTAAGGCCCCAATCTTCTAATCTCGACTTGTAAGACAGTTTCATAAAAACCTTTCACTATGGAAAAATAATAGGATTGCGAATATCGGAATAACACTTTATTTTATAAATGCACAAAGTAGGTTCTAGTAAACGTTATATGGAGAACAAATCCTATCTCCTAACAAAGATTAATTCTAATATTTTAATGGCATCAAGCCCTCTACGCGTGCATCACCTACAAACAAAATATCGAGCCAGCAAGCGCAGATTTATGGTTAACAGATAGCTTCTTAACCGTAGGTGTAGGTATGTGCTTTTTAACCACTAAAAAGCCAATTTCAACTAAAGAGTTGAAATCTGTGCTGTTATTGGGATAATTAGTCAAAGATTTAAGGTTGCAAAAGCTCATTAGCAACACAGTGTTTCTTATGCTTAGATATTGGTAATATAGTCTTAAGAAAAAAATAGTTATGATAATGGAGATCATCTTAGCAAAACATTTTCTTTGGTCGATTTCCCTCAGTGTAGAAAATAACGAAAGATGCTTACAAATATTATAATGAAAATACTCTATATTCAAAAAGTGACATATCAAAAAGTAAACGAAGTAGCACATCTAATATAAGTTTATATACGAAAGGACCTGAACAGGTTAACAAAATAAAACTAGATTCCTTCATCCAAAATATCGGGGGCATTGCTGGGCAAGTTTACCCAATAGGCTCGCTATGAAGCCTTCATCTTGGGCACAAATTGCTCTAGTATTGTTTTTTTTGGTCGGATTTATCCCTTGTAATTCCTTATAAGGAAGATTCTTTGGGTAAATCAAGTGATACTTCGATTTCACAAATTCATAAAAATACTTCGGCGAAATAAGAGATTATTTTAATATACATTGTATGATAGCTGATATGTGAATATATCTCCAATGACTAGGCACCGGACAATTTCCGTGCGTCCAGAGCCGGTACATAGTGTAAAAATAAATTTGTATTCCTAAAATTTGGTAAGAAGGCACAAATTTCATCCCAAACCACTTTTTTTTTTAATGGATTTTTTTTATACCTTGAAAAATAAAGGTATATAGTTTTTTAGTGGCGATTTCTATAAATTGACATATAAAATACCCTGCATAGCACCGATCAACTCATTTTTGATATATCTTAGTTTTACATCACGCAAGTGCTATTTCAAAATTCGAAATTTTTTTGTCCAATACACTCTTGTTACATCTATGAGGGTTTGGGGTATGGTAGCCGAGTGGGTAAAGCGCTTATAGCTATTAACTCGGTACAGAATATCGATGGTTCGAATCCATCCTGGAGCAACAAATTTTATTTGTAATTTGTTTCGGATTAACATGGGAGTGAACTGTCGAAGCCCTAGGTGTGGTTCGGACTCCACAATAAACTGTAGGGCCTCTTCTCTATTTACTCAACACAAAATCCTAGGATTTTCTAGGTGTTATTTCGGTGACTTGAGAGGCGGTTAAGAAAACATCATAAAACACAGTGTACATGCCTAGCAATGTGCTGTTCCCTTGAATTTTAATTTTTAATAATGTTACAGGAAATATTCGCAAGAATATTCCTACCTCATTGGGAATTTAAATATGTGCATTAATACATTCAACACAAATTCCAGTTTTATGTATTTTACAAGTATAGAGATGTGCAGACAAGCAATTGAAACAACGAAAATCTTCAAGGTCTTAGCACTTATCACAGTCTTAACGAGATTACGACTATATACGACTCTGTGACCAGAAGAACATTACATTGTCACGCGTGTCTTGACATGCTGTTAATCTGATTGCGCCGGCACCTATTATGAGACTGAGTAAGTCACCCCAAAAACAAAATAGAATATTCCCGGGGGAATTTATGAGTACCTCGAGAATTTCCCCGAATCATTTTCGGCCAGGGAATATTCGCACCGGGAAATATTTCCTATAGCACATTGCTTATGCCTCTGGTTCTGATATAAGCAGTAAAACGTTTTCACCTCTGACACCAATACTACACAAAGCATTTACGACTATTTTCTCAACTGTTTGCGCATTAGTTTGCAACGCCCGTTTACTATATATTAACAAGGGAGGTGTACTCTGAATAGTACTTTTTTTTGATCATTTATTTAACGTCGGCTTATTTCCGCTAACAGGGAGAATCACCGACGCCAGAGGACGAGCTACCTTCAACCTAGAAATTTTGCCGAACCTCTTCTCTGTCGAGAAGTAGGGATTTTTTACTTGCCTAACGTTTAGTAGACAAGGAACCAATTGGTTTACATCCCTTCCAAAAGAAAGATCTACACAACTCTCGTCTAAGATTGCATAGGTTCTGCGTAATAGCTGATATACAAACCGTTAGAAGACGGGACGATATCGCCGAGTTTCTGTCACAAATTTTGTTTTAAATTTGTGCTTTTAAGTGCCTGTGGTTTCTATTTCTCCCTAGCTGGGTTACTGTATTAAGATAGGCGCCACGTGACTCATTGCCACGAAAGTTAATCTTAATTTTATTGCCTTGGTATTTGATCGTGGAATGGAATTTTCTCATGGTCGATTTTTATGATACGGAGAGTAAGTTAGCCTGTTCTTATCCTCGGTGACTATTTCTATGTGCCTTTGGCTACTCTAGTAGAGCTGAGCAAGACTTCAGCAACTCCTCTTCAGCGGTCCTAGCTTGAGATACCTGTTTCTACCTTAGATTTTGTTTCTGAAGGATTTAATCAAGCGTTGAATGCTTTTATCTATTAATTAGGGCAAGAAAAAATTGCACGGGGGGTTCCTGACAATTTAGCTTTTTTCTAGCCTGAAAATAACTTTCTGAAAACTGAAAATATTTTTTTCAATCAGTTTTGATGCAAAAATAAAATTGAACAAAAATGGCTTTTTCTTCTCCAAAAATGACTATGAAAACTGAAATTTACAAACTGTTTTGATGAAAATTATTTTTTGTAAAAATTTTGGCTGTCGATTCTTAAAACTCAAAAAATTTCAATAAATTCTGAAATTTGATAGGCAGTCTAGTAAACACCCGGGAAACTTAGAACTAACCAAATTTTCTTAAAGAAATGAATTTTAAATCGAGTTGAGTTTCTATTTTAAAACAAATTAAAAATTTTTGATGTAAAATGCGGTTCGAGAACTTTTCTTAAAAGCCTAGCCTCGCAAATAATAATTTTAGAAATAATTTTAAGTCTCGGAGTATGCAAGTCACTTACTTACCTGTCCTCGGAGATCTCGGAGGAATATATTCTTTTCTAATAACGTTTGATTTGTAATTTTTTGTTAGTAGACAGCGTACGTTCGTAGGGGCCTGCTTTGGAATTTCTAAATTTAATAAATAAAAAACAACGTAGTTTTACAAAAAAACCTGATGACAGAAGACTCCTCAAGCCAAAATCCACGAATGATAAAAGCTGTCGAAGAAGTGCTTCTGTTTTTCTGCGGTGAATGTTGTGGAAATATTTTATATGTAGTGGATGTCGTCTTCGTATCTTGAATACCAAAAAAATAACCCAGCCTCGGATGTGGAGAAATATCTTAGTATCTATCTTAAGACTTCTGGGGTTCGCTGAGATCTAATTACCTATGAACCTGCCAACAAAAGACTGCTTTTAGGGCTTAAGATCACTTGGTGGTAATTAATAGGGTTCACAACCGATTTAAAATTAATTAGTTTTCGTTCCCAAAGGGACTGAAAACCTATTTTAATGCAAAAGTTGAAAATTTATACTTTTAAAAAAAATTTAATTTTACAACGTTCTCGCGTGGCTGCTGGGTGGAGAAATGTCTCAACTTATAAATACAAAATTTTGTATTTATAAGGGTGGTGTCGTAACTCACTGCGATGTTAACATGATGTCATCTTTTATTCATTTGTCTCTGCAAATATCCTTTTCGAGGCATGTGCGGCCAGCATCGTTTAAAATTTATTTGATAAAATACTGAAATTTAGCTTTTACTATTTTAAAATTTTATAGGGCAATCAAATTGTTCAGATCTGTTTGTAATTTGTTGTTTATGAGTTTCTGTATGAGTTCTGGTCATTTTTATTTATTCGAATACATGGCGACACCGGGCGTCGAATTTTACTACGGAGCGGTTTTTTAATGAAAATTAACTTTACTGTCTTTGCTTTTAAAAATCGGAGAATTGAGATAAACAATTGCGGTTTGAAGTTTTGAATATGGTTTTTATTCTTTATCTAATTTGCTGAAAAAAAAAGTGAAGTGACATTTTGCACTTTGAGCCTTTGTAGTTTTTGTCCCGACCATTTTTTAAATGTTTCTTATGGCTTAGGGCCTTATATTTGATCGGGGTGATTTTTTTCATAATTTCATTTTTTCAATTTTGTCCAATTTTTCGTAGAATTTTGGTTCTACAACATTTCACTAAAGTTACCATCAAATTACTGACTGCAACTACCATTGCTTAACTTTTGTATCGAATACGAATACTGCTAAAGCCGATCTACGCGTGCCTGTAAATAGTACTTAAAATACGCATAACACCATTAATGATTTCATGTTCCTTAAAATCTATGGCTTCATCAACTGAAATCCAGACGTACTGATTCTTTCGCGTCCGCCGTTGATAAAGTTGTTATTACATATTTCTTCTCGCGGCAGTCATCTACGCACTGCAAAGTTTATAGATAAACTGAATCTGAATAGGGAATAGGGAATACAGTTAAGATCTTGCTGCGCACACACTCAGCTATTTTCCTTTCCTGTGGGAAAATATACCGATCGGGACGCTACTCCCGGGAATCACAGAAATTGTTTGGTGTCTATCAATGACAGAACAGCGTATTATAGGTATAGTAATGAGCATTTTTTGCCTTTGTAGAATATGTTAAAAAAATTATTACATTGTATTGTTCAAGTAAATCTTGTGAAGGTGTGATAAAACACCATTTGGCCTGGGTCGTAAATTAAAAACGGTAAAAGATATCGTCTTAGTTAAAAAAGCTACTGATAGAGCTTTTAAAAAATCGCAAAATTTGCGAATATATTCTTTCGCGATAGCAGGGTACTGCATGACTTTATTTCATTAAAAATTATTAAATAACTGATTTTTCTCGAAAATTTCATAGGTATAATATATAATAATAATAATAATAATGTTTTTCTACAAACACCATTAAAAACTAAATTTTTAACACGGCATACTTGAATTAAAAATGTAATATTGTATAAACTCGCGTTAAAAATGATCGCATGATTTACTTTTAACACTAGTGCAAAAAGTAAAATGACAAGTCATAATGACATTTAAATATTTATTAACAAAAAATTACAAGTTATTTAGAAATATTTATATTAATTGTACAATTGGAGCAATTGCTCATATTTATCCCTTGTGAGGAAGCTACTTCAAAAGAAGAAATTGTTGAAGTTAAACTTGAAGCAGTGGAGGAAATACTATTAATATGCTCTATTTCTGAATTGTTAAAAGAAGGGCAATTATTTGGAAGAATGTGACAAGCAATCCTCTTTTTGTTTTCTAACGAATCTTCCAAGTACCCTTCTGCAACACTGGAACTTTTCCATCCTCCATTTTTTTATTGTACATAAATTTGCACCAGAGTCTGCTAACAAGCTGACGGATGTCCGACGAAAACAATGTCCGGTGTAAAGTTCACTATTTGGTAATTTCAAAAATCTTGCAATATCTGTAGGCATCTTTCCAAACATATTTATTCCAACAGGTTGAATCGTACATTTGTTACTAGTGTATTTAATAAAAAGACGTTGGTGGTTGACATGAGCTGGACGTAATGCTAAGTACTTATGATATAAGTCAATATAAGTCTCAGTAATAACAGTAAAGGTTCTTGAAACTCTAGTCTTGCTATCTGGAATGTTTACCACTAGTGTATTTCCTAAATCCTCAGTATTGTTTAAACTCATTTGACAAAGTTCTTCACGGCGACACGCGCCTAGTATACCCATTACAGCAGCTACTTTAAACATCAACTACTTGTCATCTGGCGCCTCTGCAATAAACATCAATATTTTGGCGTGTAAAAATTTTTTGATTTTTTTGGACGATATCCTTCTCCTTTGTGTTTCAAAAATGCGATGAGTTTATAAAACTTACTTATATCTTGATTGTTCTTGACATTTAACATAGCCTTTATCATTGAAAAATGTGCCCAAAGCGTCGAAGACTTCCAAATTTTAGAATTTTGCTCGAAACAGGCCAACATTACATTTTTATTGTACTTGCCTGCAACATTGTTCCGATCACACCATTCCACAAAGCGTTTGTACGATAATTCATATTGTTGTTTGGATTTTGTGGGCAACAAATCT